CAAAACAGCATTTCACTGACCTTAAGAGCTCATTTGGTGCAGGTGCTGTTTGACTAAATGAGTCTCAGTGGAGAGTTTATGATCCTACACACTTCTCAATGAGACCTTACATAAGAAGTTGGTCAAAATTGTTAAATGTTGTGCAAACTGAAAACTTCTACTCACATCTCTAAATTCCGATCAAAACAAACCTAACGATTATTACAGATGAAACATGAAGTTTGTTCTATCGTACCTCCTGATCTGGTCGTGTGTTATGGCTGTCATTGCCACCTCCAACACAGATTAACACATACTCACCACTGCACAAATTATACAGTGTTTGAATACTACACACTCAGTGTGTATGAGTGTGTACATGCGGTATATTTCTTCCTATCATATCAGGATCAGATGTGTGCCTTGTATGCCTTTACTAACTATTTACGACCAGAATGAGAAGTCACAGTCATGTTGTTGCCACTTTCTACTGAGGCAAGTTGAAACTACTAGCTTTGTTAATGGTTAATCAATTATTTCCCAGTGCTTTATACATAATTTATAACAACAACTTTTGGGCCAGGTTGTGGAAAATGCCTGACTGTTATTTATCCTCCTCCGGTGGAGAGTACTGGAAGAAGTATTCAAAGTATTTACTTAAAAGTAGTAATACCACACTATAAAAAGAGTCACTGCATTCTTAATTTTAGTAAAGTAAAAGTACACATGTATAATCAGCTAAATGTATCAATGGTAGAAATACTCATTAAGCAGATAATGGCTTATTTGAGATATATATACATACTGTCTATTATATAGTGTAAATAAGTATCTGAAGCTTGAAAGAATAAAGAAAATTGCTGCATATGAACAAAAAAAAATTAAAACTTGATTTTCAAAAACACTTGAAAGTCGATTTACATTTACAAGTAGCCACAAAAATAAAACCTCAATTAAGGACTATAACAATGAACAATACATCATATTTTATGTAAAATCGCAACCAATAAGCTGTGACTGTTGTATCCACCCTGACTGCATCATTTTCAGTCAACGAGGACGCAGCAGCGGATGCCCGGAAGGAACACAAAAATATGCTGAGTTGCTATTTCTGTAATTCTACAGAATCAAACCTCCAAAACTATTCCGTTAACTACTGTAAATATTCAAATCTGAGAAACTGGAACCATTGAATGTTTGGAATTAAAATAAGTTTTGCTTTGCAATTCTGTTTCTGTATATTGCCTAATCTATTTATCCAGAAAGGTCCGCTAATTGATTAGCGGACCTTTCTGGATGGCTGGAACCAGGCTAAACCAAAAGTTCTTCTTAATGGAAGAAGTAGTAAATAATGTATTAAATATTAATAAAGGCAGTAGTTACAGTTGATAAACTCTTATGATAAAGTTGAACCGTCATGTACTGTTCTTTTGTGTGTGTGTACCTGGATATCTCTGTCTTCTCTGCTGTGCGAGGGCATATCTAAAGCGGTGATGTTTGAATTATTTATTCAGCGAAGCTTATCAGAACTGAGGTGCTTTATTCTTCTCCTGCTTCTGTACTACGCCCTCTCTCTCTATCTCTCATTTACTCATTGTTACCAAACACACACACACACACACACACACACACACACCTGCGGAGAGCCCCAGCCCAATCCTTGAACACACTCACAAGGGCATCTAGACCTCAGATCCAAGCGTCCCACTGTTACCATGGTAAACCATTTCGACCCTGTCAGCACTTCTGAGGCTTGCCTGGAGCGAGGCAATTTGCCCCCTCCCAACCCTTCACTCTTCCTACCCCTCAACCCCTCTTCTTTTTTCCTTTCAAAGACAGAGGGGGGGAAATCCCATCCTCCATTCTCAAAAGGCACGACTATTCCTTCTCCTATTCTTTCTCTCAGATTCATTCACCCACAATGTTTGGCACCAGCAATCTCCTCTCCTCCTACTCTCACTCTCACTCTATACAGCCTTTATAAGTGTGTGTGCACATACAAACTCACTTTCTCCTTCCACAGACTGATAGAGAGAAACGGAGGGAAACAAAGAGAGAATGTGCATCTGCTGCTGATTTCAACCACACAGGATGAGTTAAATGCAGACAGCTGATATTTCCACAAATTCCCGGAGGGAACTCAAGGAGCTAGTTTGATGTATAGATGGAACTAAGCCACTAAGGGAAGCAATTTATCCGACTATTTACACTGGCAGAAATCCTGAAACGTCTTACTTATGTGCAGAGTTTGACCTTTGTGTTTCTGCTGCAGGCATGTTAATAACATGAGCCTAAAGACAGCAGCTCTGGCATGAGGTAACCCCATTTAAAACAACACTTGAAAGTTGGCCGTTGAGGAAATATTATTACTTTACTACTGAAGAAAGGAACCTTGTGCCTGACACTGGCAGTAAATGATGCAAAATAATGTGATACTTCCCCCACAGGGGAAATTTTCAAAACAGGCTGAGCTTTAAACCAGCTGGCAAGGATTCAATGAGTTGCTTAAAGAAACTTCAGCAGAGCAGCTGGAGGCTTGACCCAAGGTTCTCAGAATGATAATCTTATGCTACCGCTCTAATAGGCAAGAAAAAACACGGACCATTTTGAAGCCTCAAGTTTTGCATCTTGGCCACCATCTTGTTTTTTTTGGAACCAGAAGTGACCATATTTACACAAGAGGATGGAGCTAGGGAGGGATACGCACTGCTACACCTGACAAGTCGCCGTTATTAAATGAACATCATGCTGTATCGAAGAAGACTATGAAACTATCAATTGAGGCCATAAACTCATTAGGAAAGTGTTTCCTGAGGTAATAAATCAAGTGAGAAGTAGGCTCATTTTGTCATAGACTTCACTGCAATCAGCCCCCTTCTGGTCATTCGAAAGAATGCAAGTTTACAGCACTTCTGTATTGGCTTCACTTTTCAGACCTGGACGTTCCCGCTTGATAAAAACACAGTTAACTAACCCATAACACTGCAACTGAGGTTCACATGAAGCCCCACACATGATTGAGATGGTGACATAAGACCTTCTATGAATGTTCTTTAGGATTCCTGAGGATTTAACTATCAGCCATATCAGGTCAGAAAAGGAAAGATTCGTATCATGATTATGTCCATAATCCATGGATATTCCTTGCGATGTGCTATACTTACACGCTTTAGCTTTGACTGGACCGCATATGCATAGAGGCCGGCTCACCTCTAACTTCCTCACAGTATTATCCCAAACGTCCTGACAACATAATGGACCTGCTGTTCAGGGGATCAGCTGGACTGTGCAGGAGTACAGGCACAGCTGGTATAACTGGTCTTTGCGTGGAGTGACACATTGCGTGGTTTATCCTTTCTATACATAGACACGGAAGTATTCTTAGACCCACCATGGACTGGCAGCAAAAATGACAGACACAAAACTGCCAGACAGAGAGGAAATATTATGTCTAAAAGTAGGTAAACCCAAATGAATGCATTTTATATGCCTTTTGATTTCTGGAATAGCTTACCCACAAGAGGCTGAAATAAATCTTTATGATGAGAGTTCATAATACGCACCAAAGGCAGTAAGCTAGTATAAAACAAGTAAATAAGTCATAAGAGGATAATGTCTTGAGTGGGTGGGGGTAAGCTGATAAAGTCACCTGATGATGACCACAAACTTAAGGTCATAGTTTAGCCTCCTTTTGCCACTACATAAGCAGGTATGATCAAATCAGATCTGAGAGGAATGCTAAAAATGATCTAATCAAAATAATAACAAATGTATCTGTTCCCGTAGGTTTTGTATCTTTTAGCTCATTCACTGCCAATCACTTAAACCGAAGATCATTTTGTTTTAGAAATGTTCATGTATTTTGTCCACTTTCGAAGGATGCCATTGTCTTTCTTCCTCATTTCCATATATTATGAAAATCAATTATTAGACTCTTGAAACGTATTCGAGTTGCAGGTAAGTATTATGGCTCACTATCATTTTTGTCATTGTCTATTATTTAGACAATTTCTCATATAGTCTGTAACATCTAGGGCTGTGCGATATGACCAAATATGTTATCACAATAAAAGTGAAAATTGAAGAAATCATGCCAAATAGTATATCTGAGGTAGAACATTAAAAACAATTATGAAAAAATATTTTTTCAAAAAATATGATTAATAACTTTTTTCTGTCCCTTTTCCTCAACAAAATGAAGCCATAGCAAATTAGCACTTAAAAAATTAAGTGTTACTTTAATTCTAATTAATTTAATAAAATATTTATTGATGATATATTGAACAATTGTCATACTGTTATTGAGGAAAGTTATATTTCAATAATTATCAATATTGTTTTATTGCCCAGTCCTAATAACATCTTAGTCAATACTGAAAGCTCCAGTTGGGGGCTTCAAATTGTTTGCTTTGACTCACCAGCAGTCTGAAACCCAAATGTCTTTTAAGAGAAAAGCAAATCCTTGCATTTCAAAAGCTGAAACCAGCTATTTGGCATTTTGCTTGATAAATGACTAGTCAATTACCAAAAGTGGCAATTCATTTCCTTGATCAACTACTTAATATCTGCATTATTATCATGAGGCACACAAAATAATGTGACACACAAAAATCAATTATCTCTTATGATAGATTACAGGACATAAAGAAGTGCACACAGAGTTTCATACTATAGAGAAATCGATGGGAGTCAATGGCTGCTTCGAACTATAGGAAAAATACATGTATTTTAAAAATGCAGTGTCAGCAAACACGCAAAACTATACATGAGTTACAGTTAAGGAAGAAAAAGCTGCAAGCACTAATAAGCACAATATCAGTGCCACAGTTTCCTTTACAAGGTGCACTGGAGATCCACAAACCCAACTCTGGGAACCACTGGGATCTATAGTTAACAACCCCTGTCATACTGGGCCTGAAACCAGTAGCAGCATTTTTTGGTTCAAAACCCTGACGGGGAATAAATGGATGTAAGTTAAATGGTTAGTTGTGATATAGGCTACTGACAGTAATTACTCTCACCATGTCCGCTGGGGTGCTGCCCGTCATCGTGAAGGTTTTCCCGGTCCGCGGAGGGGTTCACACACACACACAAGAGGCAAGGACACAAATATTTCCTCTTTTTGTGTCCCTTGTAAATAGCTCTCACAAGCTTGTTGTTGGGTTTAGAGCAGGAAACACACTGGATTCCTGGTGACTTGCTCTCTCCACAACACCGAGGTTAGTCAAGACGTGTTACAACGCTTCTTCCTCTCTATTGCACAACCATGTCGTTGATCTTTTCCCACACAAATCGGTCTATTTGGAAGTAACGTTATAGTTAATGTTAACGGGACAAGCTGTCGACCCGAGGGCCTCCTCCGACCCTCCAAACATCAAGAATATCCTGCTTTAGAAAAGGTGCCTACGCCATGCAAAGAACCAAATACTGCTGGCACATCCGGACACGGATCTTTTTCTCTCTTGGTGAATAGGAACAAACAATATCCGCAAGGTTAACGGTTACCGTCCTCTGGTAAACTCAAACACTCCCGCGGGTTGGTACAAACAGGAGTCACACGGCGAAATCTGTCGGTCCTTCGTTTTAATAAAACGGGGGTTTATGATGGCTGTTAATGTTATAGACTGCACTGCTCTACCTTCACCACCAGTTCAGCTGTCATCCTGCCTCAGGAAACAAAAGTCAAACCAGTCACGAAAAAAATAAACAGGACTTCCGGTGACGCATTTCAAAATAAAATCACTTTTAGCTTGTGGCCAGTGGGTTTGGCTTCAGAGTCAGACCTTCAAAGTCAGACGTTTTTCAACTGCAAGAAAAAAATTTATGCTACTTCCATATATATCAATAGTTATATCAATCTTGCAAAAATACACCTTGAATGAAATTGGTTATCATGCTTTCTTTAATAATAATAAAGTTGTACCAAACAAGTAGAAATGTTCATGCTCCTACTCTACAGTCCTGTTTAGTTTCCATGATACTTTAGGATAAATAAGGTGGTATTCCTACCTTTACCACAAAGAGCATGGTACTCTATTTACGTATCTTTGATTAGTCTCTTTTTAGGTGAATGTTAACTGTGACAAACAAACAAAAAACAGTCAAGAAATTAATTAGCAAGGAATGGGTTTCATTCATTGAACTTCTCGTATTTAAAAGCAATATGCTCTATTACTGAGAATATTCAGCTGTTAGATTCATCAAATGATCATATACACTCTGTATTGCTGGCATACTGACTGACAACTGGGTCTGCACCCATCTATAAACTCCATAATACAAGCTTATGCTTATTCTCTGCACTGTGCTCCTCCAGCAAGCACCGTCTGGCTCTACACACAACCCTACACACAAAGCAATCTCAGTCCCGGCTGTTCTCATCTGCAACACCACAATGGTGGAACAAGCTACCACATACCATCAGAGCACTTCAAGAAGCTCTTGAGAACACATCTCTTCCAAGAACACTTTCTCTTATAACCCCTAACCTTTAGAATGCACTTCCTGCCTTCTTCTTCTTCTTCTTCTTCTTCTTCTTCTTCTTCTTCTTCTTCTATCTCTTTACAATTCCCTTGTATTGATTGCACTATTCATTAATTCTTACTTCTTTCTCATAGTTCTTACTAGTATCTATTGTCACTCGTAGATTTCTTATTGTATTTATGCTTTATTGATTCTTATATGTTGTTCCTTAAATGTAAGTTGCTTTGGATAAAAGTGTCTGCCAAATGAGTAAATGTATTAGTATGTTATGTAGTATTATCTTGCCTTTTGTGGCTGTATCCTGTCAAAGCAAGAGTTCCTAACAAGCAAAGTGAGAAATACTTGGCTCACATGTTAGAAAAGGATGATATAGAAAAAATGTATAAATTAATAATTGTTGTTGTATTTTTGTCACCCTTGATTGAAAATATTTGGCACCATATATTTCTGAACTGAATTTGCTAGCAACAGCTATTCATAATATGAAGTTTTAACATAATACATTTTTTAACAATGAAAATGCAAATTTCTTTTCAATACACTATGATAAATGGCATTGTTTAGGTTTTTTTGGAGGTTTTAATTTTTTTTTATTTTTTATTTTTATTTTGAAGTTGAACTTACTTCGTATCCGGTTTAATATTTGTCAATGTGCTGCTTGATGCAGCCCCTTTAAGAACATGGCGGCAGTCTCCAGATTGGGGGGTGGAACAGAGAGGAGAGTACTGGAAGTAGTGGGAGCTTGAGTGGGAGAGTGTACAGCTTTGTGGAGGAATGACTGCACACGCATCAAGAGAAACAAGCTGGGGGTGGGGGGGACAGAGAATAAGGGGTGTAGAAAATCAAATGGACCTTTCAGAGATTATATTTAATCTCTGACAAACTGCTATTAATGTTTATGTGGTAAACCTGATCCAACCACAAGAATATAGCTTTTTTATTAGTCTCAGACACTTGAGCAGCTCAATCAAGAATTTTCTAACAAGAACATTATACTTTATTGATCACTAAAGGGAAAACACTTTCTCTGCCTGTAACATCTGGGACAGTCAAAGGTCAACGTCAGCTGCAGAAGAGCTCTGCTAGAGCTCTATTTATTGTCTTTCAATCAGAATCTTTTCAGATTCACACCACTGAAAGCAGTTATATTTGCAGTCATGCATGGTGTCAGATGGTCCATTTGATGGTCCAAGTGAGCAGTGACTGTGAGGTTAAGACAATGCGACATGTCAAGTGACAAGTCATCGTTCTGTAACGACTTAATCAATGAATTCACCAATCAGTATCCGGGATTGCTGTCATGTAGGATGAAGAATGTTTTAAAGACCTGAAACGATTCAATAAAGGCCAATAAAGACGAAACAGTTAGTCAATTCAATAAGGTTGTGGCGTTATTTATAGCATGCATCTAATACATATGTAATATAATACCCTGTCCTTGGAGAAGTACTGTGTGTGTGTGTGTGTGTGTGTGTGTGTGTGGGTGTGGGTGGGTGTGTGTGTGTGTGTGTGGGCCCTGTTTCCGTCAGAGGTCGAGATGCGTATCGGCAGCAGGTCTGTCCTCTCTCTGGTGGACAGAGTGAAATCCATTGTGGCATCAGGAGTGGCTTTTTCTCTGAGATCTACAGGATTAACTACCTAATCTCCCCACCATAAAGGGAGAGTGGAGAGGGGGTAGTGAGTCCGACAAACACACACACACACACACACACACACACACACACAAAGTGTAAGCATGCCTGCACAAACACAGAGAGGTGTGAATGTGTTTTTGTTGGTTGTGTTTTCAAAATTAAGGTCAGTATAATTTTTTAGCTTGTGAGCCAACAATTACTTCAATTCAATTCAAATCAATTCTTCTCTTGATTGTTTTCTAATTTATTGCAGTTTCATAATATGCAATCTACAAATATTGAAAACAGAAGAAAGGTAGTCAATGTGATGATATAAAACAGAATTTAAGAACAAATTGTCACATTGGAGAAGCTTGATAAATGTTGATAAAGTGGTTATCGAAAATGTCGTTGATTGATTTTATGTTGATCGACTTATCGTTTCAGCACCAAAGCCAAGATCCACACGTACTTCTCTTTTGTACTTGATGTATACCACACATACAGGCTTTTCGGTAGAGAGGGGAGTAACTACTTAATAATTTAAAGTCAATACTTAGTTAGTCCATTGACTTCAGTATAACTAAGCATGTAAATTAGGTGACAAAAGAAAGACCCACCCACTGTTACACCTGCTGGCATTGTGTGTAACTTTCACTGGCCACTAGCACCATAATAGATTACATGAATATGAAACACGTGTATTGATAGATGAGCCTCTCAACTTTGCAGCCATTGTGGTTATTTTGAGGAATGGATCAGCAGGAATTGAAACCTTACAAGTATGGCATCTTCCTGCTTTCAAGGCTGCCTGACAGTCCAACAGTCTAACTCCATGAAAATGTATTGTTCAATGGAAGGTTTCTGCTGCAGAGGTCAAGCCTGACTTCACATTTAACCATACATGTTTGTGGATCATTATCTGACTTGCTGGCATCACATATCTGCCAACCAAAACCAAAATGTATCTAGATCAAATAAATATAAGTGTGTGTGTGTGTGTGTGTGTGTGGGTGTGTGTGTGTGTGTGTGTGTGTGTGTGTGTGTGTTTGTGTATGTGTGTGTGTTTATGCAGCCTGTGTTTCCCTCCTCAGCACTTGCCTGTACTTGTTCGACCCAGTACAGGTCTGGGTAATATGAACCACCGTGTCACCTTTACAGTCCCTTAGTACCTCTCTTTAAGGTCTGCTGATCAAATATAAATGTTACATTTGTGTAAAGACAATACAACTCTATTATCCTCTAAGCCTCTTGACTCTGTTCATTTAGATTTTCATTTGAGCACCTGCTGTCTCGCTCAGACCACACACAGACATATTGTACACATGAAACTCATACACACATATAGAATACCAGTCATGAAAAGGAAACAGCTTTAACAATGTTTTGTGTTTGAAAGGTCTATGGAGATGACTTGAGTTTAACCAGTGTATTACATGAACTTGTACACTGTCTGAGAAGAAGATAAACTTTGATCTATTTCTGTTTCCTGTGTCACTACAAAACAGTTGCTGCTTTTTGGCTTTGAAGGGCAGCATGCAAGACGCACTTGGTGGTTACCACTGCTCCATATATAAACACTCACGCTCAGCATAGCAGAACTTCCCGCAGATTATTAACATGCGCCGTGTGCCATCAGCTATTCTGAGATCCTGAAGCAGACTTTGAGTTCGGACTGTGGTGCAAAGGTTGGCACTGAGAGCCACCGAATCAGCACAACACCAAGTGTGACGCTTCACACCCCCTGACCGAGAGCATTTCTTTCTCCACCAAAACCACACGGTGCCCGTTTTACTGTATGTCCTCTTCCTGCTCATCGACTGACTGAGAGATCAATGACAGGTGCTATCTTATTCTGAAAGGGTACTTTCAGAATAAGATAGCATAAGCTTTTTATGTGTGCAATATCATTTCTGAGACTTTCATGACCACACCAGTACAATGGAAGTCAATGACATTTTGTTTGTGGCTCACTGAATAATAACTCACACACCTCACTGCGCACAGTTTATATACAGTCCCCTCCAGAAGTATTGGAACGGTAAGGCAAATTCCTTTGTTTTTGTTGTTCACCGAAGACATTTAGGTTTAAGATCAATAGATGAGTATGAGACAAGAGTTCAGAATTTCAGCTTTTATTTCCTGGTATTCACATCTAGATGTGTTAAACAACTCAGGACATACCACCGTTTGAATTAGACCACAGTATTCTTAGGTGAACAAAAGGAACAAATAATCTTAAAGTAAATAACATTTAATATTTGGTGGCATAACCCTTGCTTGCAATAACTGCCTCAAGCCTGCGACTCATTGACATCACCAAACTGTTGCATTCTTCATTTGTGATGCTATTCCAGGCTTTTACCGCAGCTTCTTTCAGTTCTTCTTTGTTTCGGGGTGTTTCTCCCTTCAGTCTCCTCTTAAGGAGGTGAAATGTATGCTCTATTTGGTTAAGGTCAAGTGATTGACTTGGCCAGTCTAAAACCTTCCCCTTTTTCCCCTGATGAAGTCCTTTGTTTTGTTGGCAGTGTGCTTTGGGTCATTGTCCTGCTGCATGATAAACTTCCTCCCGATTAGTTTCAATG